GGGGAGGGGCTAGGTGATGCCCCAAGATCGCCATGGCCCTAGGGAGAGGGAGCCGGCAGTGCGAGCTGGACACCGACTCCAAGGCTTCCATGCGTGGCTTCTCGGACTCTTGGGAACAGTGGCTGCTGCCTCTCGTGAGGCTTTAACACGTATTCGGTGAGTGCCGTGGGCATAGTTTAGAAATACAGAGATGAGTACATGTGTGGAGTGTGAACCAGAGTCCTGCTGGGGTGGCTAGAATCTGAGGAGTCACTGGATCTTTCTGAGGACACCAGAAGGCCCTTTATTTCAAGGCTGCTCAAACTTCTCCACTTTTGCCGCCACCCACAATTATGTTTAAGCTTGAAAAATAATGCAAATATCACATTCTACTCAATGATGTTCCCGTATTTGTTTTAAAATGAAGTTTTGCTTTAAATTATTGACCACAGAGAAAGATATACCAGATTTATCCCAGGCTCCAGATTCTTCTAAGAAAGCTCCCATCACTCCTGGGTTATGAGCCCACTTGGGAGTTTGAGAAGGGCGGGGGGAACATAGTTTAATTTTAATCCCTCACCAAAGCTCTGCAAATAATAACCATTAACATTTATTGAACATTACAATGCATCAGGCACATGATTCCAAGAACTTTGTGTGAATAATTCACTGAATTCTTTTAGCAAACCCATACATTGGGTACTGTTATTCTGATTTTACAGATGTAGAAGCTCAGAGAGGTTAAGTAACTTGTCCAAGGTCACACAGCTGGTACCCTTTGGACTTGAACCCTATTACCTGGTGTCCTCTGGAGGTGAGGGAGGGGTTAGAATGTGATACCACACATTCTAAGAATGGAGAATCCTTCTCCATTCTTCTTGGCTCCCATGCCCTCTTTGGAGGGGGGCTGGGTACTGGAAAAGACTTTAGAGACAAGCCAGTCCACTCTTCATTTTCCAAATGAAGATGCTGGGGAGGACTAGAGAGGGAAGGGGTTTACTCCAGGTCACCCAGCAAGTCAGCAGGGGCACCAGGAGTAGACTTGTGTGATATCACATTTCTTGATTTTTGGCATCTTTGCATTTTTATCCCTTGCCCTCTAAATGGAATCTCCTCTTGTTGTCAGAGCATTTGTCCAGACTTCCAGCTGGTTTAAAAAGAGTTATTTATTTACTCATGGCTGTGCTGGATCTTCGTTGCTGCTCATGAGCTTTCATCAGTTGCTGCGGGTGCGGGCTTCTCTTTAGTTGCGGTGCATGGGCTTCTCATCGTGGGGGCTTCTCTTGTTGCGGAGCACGGGCTCTAGGGCACATTGGCTTAGTTGCTCCGCGGCATGTGGGATCTTCCTGGACTAGGAATTGAATCTGCGTCCTCTGCATTAGCAAGCAGATTCTTAATCACTAGACCACCAGGGAAGTCCATGCTGTTGAAGGAAAAGAAAAAAAGGTTATTTTAACTCTTCCTAAAAAATAATGTAAGCACCCCGAGGGTGGGAAATATGTTACTTGCTTCTCTTAGAGCATTCACTGCACCCAGCAGAGTTCTGGGCATGCAGAAGTTTCTCAATAGACATTCACGGAGCCAGAGTGAACTTTTTGTCTTAGAGGTGAAACAGAGGACCAAATTCAACCAACTGCCTTAGTCCTGAAGCTTCTGGGATGTATTGATTCTTTCCCTAAAGCTTTTCCTCCTAAAAGAATCATGCAGTTACAGAAGAGTGTTATCCCTTTCTCTCCTTGGTCCCTCTAGCTTGGGTGCCGCCCATGGCACTGGAAAAATGAGTTTAAGATAAAAAGTGAACTCTTGTTCGTCTACTGCAATGCCTACAGCATAAAGCCAATTTATAGCAACGTGGAATTCCTCTGGTCTTTAAGGTCTCATTATGCAAGTGAAGGAGGGAGAGGAGGAAGACAGATGCTCACAAATTCCTGGCGGGGGGGAGGGGAGGGGAGGGATGATCTCATCATTTATTGGGTGTTGGAAAACAGCCCAAGGAACACAGTTCAGATTCCTTTTGGGGGAGGCACTGAAAATCCCCTGATAACCCATATTCTCCAAATCTTTTAGGCCTTGAGAAAGGGATGGAGGGCAAGATGAAGAAAGTGGTCTTTTGTCCAAGTGATGTTTCCCATTAGGGGGCTGTCCACTCGGAGATGGACTCTGTGCATCCTTATTCCTAGGTGCAAACTCCAGACTTGGGAAGTGTGGAAGTCTCATTTGAAAGGCTGAGGCATGGGGCTTCCCTGGTGGCCCAGTGTTAAGAATCCACCTTCCAGTACAGGGGACATGGGTTTGATCCCTAGTCGGGGAACTAAGACCTCACAAGTGAGGGGCAACTAAGCCCGTGTGCCACAACTAGAGAAGCCCATGTGCCACATGTAAGACCTGACGCAGCCAAGGGAATAAATAAATAAAATAAATCTGTATGCAGGTCAAGAAGCAACAGTTAGAACTGGACATGGAACAACAGACTGGTTCCAAATCGGGAAAGGAATACGTCAAGGCTGTATATTGTCACCCTGCTTTTTTAACTTAAATTCGGAGTACATCATGTGAAATGCTGGGCTGGATGAAGCACAAGCTAGAATCAAGATTGCTGGGAGAAATATCAATAACCTTGGATATGCAAATGACACCACCCTTATGTCAGAAAGTGAAGAAGAACTAAAGAGCCTCTTGGTGAAAGTGAAAGAAGAGAGTGAAAAAGTTGGTTTAAAGCTCAACATTCAGAAAACTAAGATCATGGCACCGGGTCCCATCACTTCATGGCAAATAGATGGGGAAACAGTGGAAACAGTGAGAGAAGATTTAAAATCTTCTTTATTTTGGGAGGCTCCAAAATCACTGCAGATGATGACTGCAGCCATGAAATTAAAAGACATTTGCTTCTTGGAAGAAAAGCTATAACCAACCTAGACAGCATATTAAAAAGCAGAGACATTACTTTACCAACAAAGGTCCATCTAGTCAAAGCTATCGTTTTTCCAGTGGTCATGTATGGATGTGAGAGTTGGACTATAAAGAAATCTGAGCACTGAAGAATTGATGCTATTGAGCTATGGTGTTGGAGAAGACTCTTGAGAGTCCCTTGGACTGCAAGGAGATCCAACCAGTCCACCCTAAAGGAAATCAGTCCTGAACATCCATTGGAAGGACTGATGCTGAAGCTGAAACTCCAATAGTTTGGCCACCTGATTAGAAGAACCAACTCGTTGGAAAAGACCCTGATGCTGGGAAAGATTGAAGGCGGGAGGAGAAGGGGACAACAGAGGATGAGATGGTTGGATGGCATCACCGACGCGATAGACATGAGTTTCAGTAGGCTCCAGGAGTTGGTGATGGACAGGGAAGCCTGGTGTGCTGCAGTCCATGGGGTCGCCAAGAGCCGGGCACGACTGAGTGACTGAACTGAACTGAACTGAAATAGTAAAAGGAAATAAATAAAAAGCCCAGGCAGGATTGGAGGGAATTGAGTGGATAAGGATGGGCAGTTTGGGGAAAGGGTGAAGGGGACTGGATATGAAACCTTGCGACTTGTACTCACGAGAGTGGTGGTGGTGGTTTAGTCGGTAAGTTGTGTCTGACTCTTGCCATCACATGGGCTGTAGCAAGCCAAGCTCCTCTGTCCATGGGATTCTCCAGGTGAGAATATTGCAGTGGGTTGCCATTTCCTTCTCCAGAGAATCTTCTCGACCCAGGAATAGAACCTGGGTCTCCTGCGTTGCAGGCAGATTCTTTGCTGGCTGAGCTATGAGGGAAGCCCTCAAGAAGGTCCATGTGGGAATTGTATATATGGATACACGCTGAGGCATGTGACAGGAAGGCAAGAGCCATGGAACCTGCTCTTTCCCTCCACATATTCAACAGCATCTTCCTGTTCTTCTGAAAACAATCCCACAGTTCTTCTACAAAATGGGCTGCAGTCCACCAAGCATTTCCATACTTGATGGCTTCTCTCCGGTCCTACCTGCATTTTAGGAACTAGGAGCTTCCCACTGTTAGCAGGCACAGAGCTGGCCTCAGGGCCTCTGCCAGCCCCTAGGATGCTGTGGGGAGAACTGGAAAAAGATGTTAACCTGGGGAGTGGGGCACAGGCTGGATTTCAGCTCCCACTGGCCCTTTGTGCTGGGTACAAGCCCCGAGGGGATAACACGGTCCAGAAAACACCTACTTGGGGTCAGGCTGGCCTTGGGCTCAGTGTGTAGTCTGGGACCCAGTTCTCACACCCGTAAAAAGTGGGATTGTATCACGTCTTCCCCCAGCTCCTTCCCAGATATGGTGCTTCACAAATCTGTGAGTCTAGGGACAACTTTGCACCCCATACGGAATGCTTCTTCCTTCGAAGCATCTTCTTGACTTAGACAGCTGCAGGTGACAGAGTCTGGAGGTAAAAATGGGAGATAATTCTGCAGACATCTGGGTGTGCAACGATTTGGTTCAAAGAGCCTTGGACAAGGAGCGTGTATCTTTCTTGCTTAACTTTTTTGAGCATCAGTTTCTACCTCTGAAAAATGGGAATGGCACCACCTAATACAGACAGCCATGCTGTAGGGATAAAACCACCTTACCCAGGTGAGCATGCCCGGAACAGGGTGGGTGCTCCAGAAGGCTTACGACCTGAAGAAAGTTTGGCTGGAAGGTTTCTAAGGAGCTTGTGTGCGGGGACCCAGGCACAAGGTCTGGCTTTAGGGGCGCGCGGCTCCCGGGACCCCCAGCGGAGCAGGACCCCCCCCCCCCCACCCGCTCCCCTCACCCGGCTCGGCCTCCACTGCCGCCTCTTCGGCCCCGGACCGCCGAGGGTTAATGAGAAAGCCCCACGCCCCCTTTGACGGCGCAGAGCCCACCTCGCCGAATTTGAAAAGGCGGCCCTGAGAGGCGTGGGCGCCCCCCAGGCACTTCCAGCTCGGACCCGGGATCCGCTCGCTCGTAGGCGCGTTCGCTCGGCTCCGGCGGGGGCCGCCGGTGCGCTCCCGACCGTCCTCCAGCCCGGGACTCCGGGTCCCCGCGGGCTGCCGCGCAAGATGAAGCTGGCTCTGCTCCTGCCCTGGGCGTGCTGCTGCCTCTGCGGGTCGGCGCTGGCCACCGGCTTCCTCTACCCCTTCCCGGCCGCGGCCCTGCAGCAGCACGGCTATCCTGACCCAGGCGCCGGCTCCCCCGGCAGCGGCTACGGGGGCCGCCGGTGAGTAGCCGGGGCGAGGGCTGGGGACGCCGGGGGGGTCGAGAACTGGTGGCCTAGGGACTCGGGGCGGTCCAGGGCTGGGGGCGCGGAGGTGGAGTTTGGGGCTTGGGAGGGTGGGATTGGGGGCTGGGGGCGCAGGACGGTCGAGGACTGGGGGGCTGAGGACATGGGGTGATCGCATGCTAGGAGCACAGACTGTGGGGGCTGAGGGCGTGGGGCCTCGGGACCGGAGGTGCGGGGCTGAGACTGGGGTGGTCTCTGGCCGCGCCCCCCACCCCCCCTCCTTCGTTTCCTTGCTCTCCGAACCTTCGCCCCTTCGGCTCCCGAATCCGAGCGGAGGCGGCTCAAACCTGCGGCAGGGGTGCGCGGATGGGGGCGACCGTGGCTGGCTGGGGCCCAGTTCCTGCAAGTTCACCGGCTCACGTGGCTCCGCCGCGCTCACCTGCGCGGCCGCTTTGTGTTGGGGAGCAGGTTCCCGCGATGCCAAGGCCTTGCATCCGGGCCCCCCACTCGCACGCCGGCCGCCAGAGACACCGGAGGGGGGACTCCGTCCGGCCTTTGGGGTTGGGCCCGTGGAGCAGCCTGGGCTGCGACTCCCCGGCCGGGGGAACGAGGACCAGGCTCGGATCGCAAGAGTCGGCGGCGGGCTGGGAGAGGGAGCTGGGTTCCCGAGCCCGCGGTGCCGGGACCCCCCCGCGGCCACCTCCTCCGCCGGCAGGTGGCGCGCTGGCCACCCCAGGAAGGTTCGGGCAGCGTCTCCTCAATCCGTGATTGAATCCCCCCCAGAAAACGCGTGAGCCCTCGAGTAGAAGTTGCCAAGTCTTTTCGTTTGCGCAGCTCGCTCGAATTTAGCCTTTCCCGTTCTTGAACACACCCTGCGTTGGTGCCATCCGTCTCTTTTGATCCTAAAACCACGCCATGGTTAGCTATTAGAATATCATATTGTCTTTTCTTTAACCGAGGATACATGGGCTCTGAGAGAGGTCGCCAGGTTCAGTGGCAACTCAGGACTCACCTCCTGTCTTCTTTCTCCAAATCCTGTGCTTTCCAGGGTACCATGGGGCTTATTGTTTACGGAGCTAGGCAAGAAGCGACAGGTCCTGGTTCTTTTGTCCGCCTTGGTGTTTACCAAGTCTGGCAGGGCTACCAGGATGAATTCCGGCAGTGCCTTGTATTGAGGAGACCGGGATGTTTTGTGTCAGCACACTGCATGGCTAGTTCAATCGGTTCTCAGAAAAGCATATAAAAAGTACTTCTGGAAAATTTTGCATGCAATTTTATTTCCTTCATTTTGTTTGGAAATGCTCCCCCAAGGCTATTATTAGTATTATTCTCCAAACACCCAGAGTAGTGTGGAATCTGCACACTTCCATAGGAGAATATTTTAAAAACTAAGTTTTTCAAGTTGAAAAATGATATGTTTAAGATCTCACTTATGAAAAATTCAATCTATATATATAGGTATATATATATATATATATGTATACAACTGGTAGTACTTAATAATACTGTGTGTGCTCAGTCATGTCTGATGCTTTGCAACTCCATGGACTGTAGCCTGCCAGGCTCCTCTGTCCCTGGGATTTTTCAGGCCAGAATACTGGAGTGGGTTGCCATTTCCTCCTCCAGGGGATTTTCCTGACCCAGGGATTGAACCCACCTCTCCTGAGTCTCCTGCTTTAGCAGGTGGATCCTTTGCCACTGAGCCACCTGGGGAACCCATATAAAGTTGGTAGGAAACAATTTTTGGCAGTTTCCTGTATGGAGAGACCTGGTCTTGACCAGGTCCTAAGAGAGAGTGAAAGAGAACTCCCATTCCCTCCACCCCGCTCCCGGTTCTGTCTGCTTGTGTCTTGTTTGCGTATTTTACACAGAGCATATACCCATGTATTACTTTTGTAATTCAAAAGTGTGTTTGTGTGTACTGGGGGTGGGGAGGGGAGGTGGAAAAGGCTCCTACAGCCTGGACTGTGTGTGCTGAGAGGTACCAGATGGGAAGTCCATGCAGGAAGCCGTTGAATGGGGGATGTGGGTTCTGGCATTTGGTAGATTGGAACTCGGGGACTTCCAGAGATAATTTGGAAAGGATGGTTTTGGCACAAATAAAAAGAGTCCCCAACAAATGTCATCTCGCAGAACTCTTTCTACCAGGATGGGAGCAGGGAGAAGGCGTATTACGTTCAGGGACGAACTGGATGAATGTGTGGAAAATGGGTTTCCAAATGGGATACTGGGAGGTGTTAAGGAGGCTTGGGGCAGGTTGAGGTAGATGCTTTGGAGCCTGACTGAGCCTTTCCACCCAAAGGCCTGCGTGGGCACTGCAGGCATGAGATTCGGGTCTGGGTGAGTTGTGGGCTGGTGTCACACAGTCCCGAGTCTGATTCATTCCAGAAGCAGAAGGCTTGGGGACAGCGTTTGGCACCGGGCTCTTCACAGCGTTGGCCTCTGCTTGCTCCATACATGTGTTTATAGTGGCTTGGTTTCAGCTGATGGGCAGGATGACAGGGCTGTTTCTTGACAAATGGTCTTCTCTTATTTCATGGTTATTGGTCCTGTGTTCTCTTTTCTCTGTGTGTATATGTGCCTGTGCCTGCCCTCCTGGACTGGGCATCTAGGTCTGACATGTTCTGGGTGCATTTTGCTTTTTACACAGGGGTGCTCTGCTCTGGTCACCTCCATCACAAGCCCAGCGTGGGCCCCTCTGATGAAGCTATTTTGGCAGAAAGAAGAGGACATCAATTCCTTAGAGACCCATTTCCAGTAAAATCTTGCAGCCCTGTGTTTGGGCCACTAATGACTTTTGTCAGCCACAGAGGGTTTAGATGCCAAGTAAAAGCTAAAGGGAAATATAACATTAATTGACCGGGAGGGTTGCATAAGGATGGAGCCCCCAGCTCCACACCCTAGTCCTTCCATTGTACCATTGTACCAAGGCTAACACATTGGTGAAGCTCTTTGAAGTAAAAGTCACTCAGTCATGTCTACCTCTTCATGACCTCATGGGCTATACAGTTCAAGAATTCTCTAGGCCAGAATACTGGAGTGGGTAACTGTTCCCTTCTCCAGGGTGTCTTCCCAACTCAGGGGTTGAACCCAGGTCTCCCCCATGGCAGGTGGTTTCTTTACCATGTGAGCCACCAGCATGTGTATTTCATTTTTCTTCCTGCCTCCCTCCCCGATCATCCCCTCCCTCCTTTTCACAGATGGTGATTAGATGTCTCATCTGTTGTCACCTCTTCATCTCTGTATCCAACTCTAAAGGGTCCAACACAGCAATGAGTGATCAGAGCGTGAGGAGTGAAAACCAGAGAAAGGGCCCCTCCACCCCATTCTGGGTGCACAATTCTCAGCTGGGGAGGGAGAGGTTTTAATTTGAATAAGAGTTTTAATATTCATTCTTGGAGTGAGAATGTTCTGCTAAGAGAAACCAGAAGAGTGGTGAAGATCTGCCCAGATTTTAAGCAGAGGAAGGAATGAATACACCCACAGAGTGGGGTCATGGGGCAGGGGCGAGGGACAGAGTTGCTTTTGCTTCTGCCCTGAAGAATGGCTCGTGTTCCGTAAACCTGTTCCTTCTGTACAGGGTGTGAGGCTTGGGAGAGGACAAAGGGAGACCACGTGCTGAATCTACAGGTTATACAGTAAGCTAATGGACGGTTAAATAAGTAGGTTTGATCTTCCAACCTTGATGAGTAATTAATTACTCCGTATACTCAAAGGTCCGGATCGTCAAAGCTGTGGTTTTTCCAGTAGTCATGTACAGATGTGAGAGTTGGTCCATAAAGAAAGCTGAGCGCTGAAGAATTGATGCTTTTGAATTGTGGTGCTGGAGAAGACTCTTGAGAGTTCCTTGGACTACAAGGGATCAAACCAGTTAATCCTGAAGGAAATCAACCTGGAAAGCCAAGTCCAAAGAGGAATTCTCAGATACTTTAGAATTTGCTGCTCTGGAAAATGGTGGTAGGAGGAAGGCTTCTCATGGACCAACTGTCTTCATTGGTTTTTTTCTTAAACTTTTTGGCAGGGAAGCCTGGTGTGTGGCAGTCCATGGGGTCAGAAAGAGTCAGACAGGACTGAGAGACAGAACAACCTCTTCTTTGTTGTTGTTGTTGTTTAGTCACTAAGTCATATCCAACTGTTTTCGAAGTCATGGACTGCAGCACGCCAGGATCCTCTGTCTTCCACTGTCTCCTGGAGTTTGCTCAAATTCATGTCAACTGAGCTAGTGATGCTCTCTAACCGTCTCATGCTCTGCCACCCCCTTCTTCTTTTGGTTCAGTCTTTCCCAGCATCAGGGTCTTTTCTAATGAGTTGGCTCTTCACATCAGGTGGCCAAAGTATTGGAGCTTCAACTTCAGCAACAGTCCTTCCAATGAATATTCAGGGTTAATTTCCTTTAGGATTGACCAGTTTGATTTCATTGCTGTCCAAGGGACTCTCAAGAGTCTTCTCCAGCACCACAGCTTGAAAGCATCAATTCTTCGGCATTCAGCCTTTTTTTATGGACCAACTCTCTCACATCCGTACATGACTACTGGAAAAACCATAGTTTTGACTAGGTGGGCTTTTGTCAGCAAAGTGATGTCTCTGCTTTTTAATATGCTGTCTAGGTTTGTCATAGCTTTTCTTCTAAGGAGCAAAAGTCTTCTAATTTCATGGCTGCAGTCACCATCCACAGTGATTTTGAAGCCCAAGAAAATAAAATCTGTCACTGCTTCCACTTCCCCCCGCTTCTGTTGGTCATGAAATAATGGGACCAAATGCCATGATCTTAGTTTTTTTAATGTTGAGTTTCAAATCAGCTTTTTCACTCTCCTCTTTCACAGTCATCAAGAGACTCTTTAGTTCCTCTTCACTTTCTTCCATTAGAGTGGGATCATTTGCCTATGTGAGGTTATTGACATTTCTTCTGGCAATCTCGAGTCCAGCTTGTGATTCATCCAGCCCAGCATTTGGCATGATGTACATCACCGACTCAATGGGCATGAGTTAGAGTAAACTTCAGGAGTTTGTGATGGACAGGGAGGCCTGGTGTCCTGCGATTCATGGGGTCACAAACAGTTGGACACAACTGAGCGACGGAACTGAACTGAACTCAGCATATAAGTTAAATAAGCAGGCTGACAATATACTCCTTTTGCAGTTTTGAACCAATCAGTTATTCCATGTCCAGTTCTAACAGGAGGCAGTGACCAAAATTATCCTCTTCTTTAAAAGAAGGCTTTTCCCCTTCCACCATTAACTTGGTGAAGAAGGCCAGTTGTCCTCTAGGATCCCAAATTCTAGACTTGGCTGGCTACTCCTGAGTGGTGTGAATAATTTGATCTGCTATCCCCTGTATCTCATCTAAATTAGAAATTAGGTGTGAATGTTGGATTAGATTTAGGATCTTTTATTTGGGAGAATGGGGGTGGGCAAGAATGCTTCATAGTTGGTCCAGTGGATCTTGTTAGATCATATGTGATGGATTGAATGTTTATGTTCCCTCCACCCCCCAATTCATATGTTGAAGCCCTAACTTTCAGTGTGATGGTATTTAGAGGTGGGGCCTTTGGAAGATAATTATGAAGATGAAGATTTAGATGAGGTCATGAGAGTCGGGTCCCCATGATGGGAATAGTGTCCTTATAAGAAGAGGAAGAGAGACTAGAGCACCCTCTCTCACTTTCCCTTCCCATGTGTAGACACCGAAGTCGGCTGTCCACAAGCCAAAAAGAT